CGGCTAGCACAAGCGATCGGGACGTTGTTCGCAGTGAGAGGACAGGGAGGAGACGTAAGGGGAAAGGGGGGAAGATGGAGAGTAATGGGGGAGGGGGAGATCAAACACGGAGTCAGGATTTCAGGATGTGGATTGTTCATTCTGTTTAGTGAGCTACCTCTACTTGTTTACTGCTTGATTCATGTGGTTCATTAGTGCATTTCTTTTTCAGTTGAAAACAGCATTTGACTGATACAAACAAGGTTTTTTGGTAACAAAATCCAACCTTCTTGGGTTAGTTATGGCTCTGGGAGTCACATCTTTAAGATATGATTGATACATTACTTTTAGGGATTATTTTTATTTATTTGAGTTTAGTTAAAAAATGGGGGTTAGCAGCAGCATATTCCAGAACTTGGCACACAGTGTTAGGATAGTACTACAGTTAGACTGTTACGTACAAGAGATGGTTAAAAAAAAAAAAAAAAAAAGACTAACTGTTTTACTTTCACCTCCTAACCCACCCCACCCCCACCCTACTGCCTAGGCTCAGGACCAGAGAGTGGAGGGGGGACCAGATGTGAGGAGGAAGGACAGCATGACGAGGAAGGAGTGGAATGGATTTCCATCTGAAAGGGGGGTGGAAGTCGAGGAGGAAGATGCCAGTACATGGGAGTATGAGGATGGAGGAAAGTAGTTGAAAGCATGCGAAAGAAAACAGAGACAGGATATAGAGGCTATCTTTATAGACTTACTCTACCTCGGGTGCTTTGCATTTCCGCTGCTGTGCAACACAAAGCCCACTCAAGGAAGTAGTACTTATAAAATACTTTTGTGGACATTGTTGTACTGCAATGGCAGGATGGGATTTGTATTGTACAGATCTGATGACTTAATACCCCCAAATAGCACATGCAGCATTAATAATTATTAATAATCCAAGGCTCTCAGATACACACCAATATACTACTAGACAAATGTGCTGGTGGTTTCACTGTGCTTCTCCAGGCCTCAAAAGAACAAAATAAACTAAATATTACTTTAAAATACAGCTTGTTGACATTTAGTTCACTGATACAGTTTTACGAGTAGCCAAGATTAAAAAAAAGAAATCTTAATCAACTCATGCACAGGGTAATTCTGCTAGTGCCAAGTCTTGTTCTTACCTCAGACTCAACCACTTTGTCTTCAAGAGGGGTCGGGGGCCTTTTATGGGCTGGCTCATTATGACCGACAGAACTCAGCCTTTTCATAGAAGGGGGGTTTGCTGTGGACAAGATAGTCATCGCTTAATAATATAAACTCAATATTTAGGCTACTATAAGTTGTTATCACATCCACAAATTATACAAGTTGCTCCACCTCAAGATGTGCAGAGTGTGGACAGTTTTTATGACTGGATGAGAAACACTATGAATGCTAATTTTCTATCAGTCAAAACATGAATATGAATATTTGATGGTTTTATCTGCAAAATATTTGGTCACAATTTTAACAACGACAACATTAACCTCAAAACATTACACGTATTTTATGTACAAACTGCTTTTAGTGAAATCCAACAGAGTTTATTGTACCCACCATTAGACTTGTTGTTGAAGAAGTTGTAGTACTGGGAGACGTATGTGATGATGCTGAGCCGGTCAGGCACTTTCATGGACACCATGTCTTCTGGGTCCAACAGGGCTGGAATCCCCAGCTGTGTCTCTGCCACTTCAAACGCCTACGGTGAAGCAAAGACAAGGGAAGAAACGGAGACTGTAAGCATGCCAATAATAAACTATAGTGATCCACAGGGATGTGATTATTACAAATGTCCCCCGTTCACTTTAACCAGGTCACCAACTCCTCAATATCAGAGTAAGCACAACTGTATATAAAAACTCAACACACGTGGATTGCTTATTAATATTTCAATGTGTTGTGGCAGTTTGGTATGATTTACCTCAATGTGTTGGGACATTTATATGGTATACAGTAGCTGCAGTGGAAACTTTTGAGAGTGAGGTCTGTGGATCATCTTAAGGAACCAAGACAATGTTTATGGAAAGACACTTTTCAAAGTTTACAGCAGCACAAAGAAAGGTCCATTTAGCGACATTGTAATGGGGTGGCAAGAGAAATCTCAGAGACTGATATCTCAAACCTGAGCAAATAAAACCGAAATCTTGACACCTCTAGGGGTAAGAGAGAAAAGTATGTTTTGTTCAGGGAAATGAGTTACTGCATACCATGAAAATGCTTAAATCAAACTAAAGCCTTTATCTGGGTATCACAGAAATCTGGTTATCTGTCTCCATGTAAACATGCAGAAACTGAGGACAGAATAATCACTTTGTTGCATGTGTGCAACAAAGAAAGATGCTTGCCATAGCCCACCAACCAGCACATATAGCACTGGATGCCCTGAATAATCTAACCCTGCTGCCAAAACATCAGTCATTTGCTCATAATGTAATGTTTTGTCCTTTGAGGATAACCATCAGTCTAATGAAAAATTCCAGTGAAGAAATGAGAGAGCAGGTGAGGTTACATAACACAGACACAATTGTTGGCAGTCACACAACACTGACATAATCCAGCCAACAAGTGGTGCACATGGCAGAACTAAACCTAAATTAATCAAAATGCATTATAGTTCACTGTTCAAATAATACCTGGTTTACAGCTAAAATTGTTCACTTGTCCTAGTTCAAACTACCCACTTTCCTGCAAAACAAATGAATGCTCTAGAAACTGATAACATATTACTGATTCCCCACACAGACTCGTTTCACAGCAACAAAACAGCCAGTCTGATATCTTTGTTTAAAAAAAGCCAATTTTGTATGAACCTATTTTAAGTGAAATGCAGTCCAGATAAGAGCTACAGTTCATTATGAGAATGAATTAAAGCATGTCAGGGTCACCCAACCTGCCTTTGTGACCCTCCTCCAGACCTCAGTTAAATGCAGCTTGGACCCTTTGGTAAATAGGTGTTTCTATTGAGGATGAGACTTTGTATTAATGTAGGGACAAAGGCTTTAAATAGATTTAATCAAAGGCAGATAAGCAACAATAATAAAAGACCTCCACCACCTTTGTTACCTTCGTAGGGGGATCCCCTACGGCTGTGGGCTGTCAGTACCAGATGCTTCAACTAAAGAGAGTATGGACATACACTTTAATAATCCATTTTAGCACAGAGAGCAGAAAACTGCGCTCACAAATTCATCTGCTCCTGCTGTTTGGGTTTCTTGACATCAGCCTGGTATCTGCGGACAGTTGCTGGCTAACGTTAGCTACCCAACAGGTGCGGACGGACCAAAGAAAGCAGAATACACACACTGTTCCGCTGACTCCCGTAGCTTTCGTCACCAGAAATGATCCATCGTTAACAAACACAAACAGAGCACAGATACAAGACAGTAATAACAGTCTCATAAACTGTAGTGGGTGTGCATATAACGTACTTATTCCCCTCGCAGCATATACTGCATATAGTAATATATCACTAAGCCCTCTTTTAATGTGATTTATGTTTAAACAGGGACAATGGAAAAAAAAGTAATGCCTGCTCACTTACACCATGCCACAAAAGTTTAATAATCACTATATAACTGTAGATTACAGGTTTTTCTTTTACTCTGTATTAAGCCATTTTAATTTCATGTGTTATTGTGTTTATTTTCTATTGATAAATATTTTTCTTGTGTTGATATTTATTTATTGTTTAAGTGCAATGCCTTGATAACTGCTGTAACAAAATAAACACCAAAAACAACAAAAGAATATCACAATTTGGGATCAATAAAGTACATGGAGAGAGTCCTTTCTTTCTTTCTAGACAATGTTTAAATCCTTCTTAGATCTTTAAGTGTGGCATGGAGTAAGTGTGCAGGCATTACCTATTTTCATTGATCATCATTTTATGATTGATCCCCAAAAAAGAGTGAGAATACATGCTGACTGTAAGCACGTGGAGGGAAGTGAAACTGACACAGCCTAAAGTAACTTTATTTGCTACCTATGTAATTCAGGGTGATTCTCCAGAGTCATGTGTGTAGTGCTACTGCACTATTGTCCAATACTACTGATCGCTGACAACAAGGGATCAACCTGTGACAGCAGTCTTATATTAACAGGATTGAACAATTGTTAATTGTTAAGTAAACCCATATATAAATTCTGTATAAAAGGGGTGAAGTAATACTGGGAGAGAGACAACCATGAAAACATTTAACATCTGGTTCTTTAATAGTGAAGTCTTACTACGGGGCTTCTCACATTTACAGTTATAATTTACTCGTACAGGATTAGGCCTTGTGGATACAGTAAATTACTTAAATAAATGACTTGCTTTTCCTGGTGCTACTGCTACCTACCTCACTTTCCCTGAAAGCTGCTGAACAAAAAGAATGTAAACAGCAGCAAAGAGGTGCCAAAGCTTAGCTCAGACTGAAAATGAGGAGACTCCCATTTCGTCCCAGACGATGGGGAAAAACCCAACAAAGGAAATGATCATTTAAAGAAAGTTCTTTGCTGGTTGTAATCCAATGACTTGCAATAAGCTGCAAATTCAGCACTTTGCACTTGAAATCCTCTTTACATGGTGTCTCTCCACAGGCTTATGTCAAGAATGTTTTTTATGATCCTGAATGCTCTGGCTTCTTCCCTCTCTGACCTCATCAGGCTCCATCTGGATTAGGTGACATGTCTCTCAGTCTCCACACAGACAGTCAAAGTCACACCCATGATGACTGCATGCAATCGTACGGCTGAATAATTTTATGGCTGAATTTAGCGCACATGGTAACAGATGCAACGCCTGAAGCAAAGCAATAGATATGAATTACTTCAGAGGTGATTTATTCCTCCCCTCTAGAGCTAACTGTCACACAAAAACAAAGCATTAGTAACGACAAGATCATAGGGGTCCCAAAACATGCAGCTGTAAAACTGACTCACCAGTCGGTTGTTCTCGTAGACATTCTCTTTAGACAGCGAGCCAAAGTCTCTGGTATGACAAGAAAGAAAATAATGTTAAAATTCAAAACAACATTTGAGAGAAAGCTGAGTGACCAGGTAGTGAGTGTACAGTTCTATATATATCAACAACTGCAAACCATGAGTCCTTTTTTTTTTTAAAGATCAGGACTCTTGTAGACGACCATAAAGTAGTAACTGTCCAAGCCATGGTGATACAGGACGCTACTGTATTTAGCTGGCTGACCTATTTCAACTTATGTTATGATCCATCAAAAAGCTATTATTGGCTTGACAGTATGACCGCAGAAATGGTGAGCAGTTAACTTCCCAACTACCACAGCTGACAAATAGCCCCAAACCACACATAAATGATGCCTGATGTGAAAAACTGCCGGGACAAAAGGAAAGAAGCAGCGGCATCAAACAGGCTGATAATTACAAGGTTCTACTTTGAAAAGCCCGGAGCAAGGAACTAAAGCCAGGCCTCTCACCAGTAAACATCCTGCTGTAAAACTGGAAAATGTCTGCGGTGTTTTGGGATAAAAGTGTGGTTGTGTGCACAAGTAACTGTATGTTAACACAAGTGTGTACCAGTAGGACAACAACACGCCAGAAAAAACACCACGACCCTGGTAAGAGCTTGTGGAGACCATGTGGAACGCTCAAGAAGGCAAAAACCCAGTGAATGAGCTCCGTGTTGGAGCCACACAAAGTGACCTCTGTTCTCTCTAATCTAGTTCCCATGGTCGCAAACACACATTGAGCTGCAGCTATAATGTCAAGAACGTGTCAGAACAAGTCCAATGTGTCAGATCTACAAACATAGCCAGATGGAACTTCAGAAAGCTGTAAAAAACATTGCACAAACTGTCTGCATTTTTGCCACTCACTGAAGTGCAGTGTGTGATCTGAATTGTGAACCTAATCCACTGTGACTCAGATTCTCACTCCGAGGTTTATTTTGGGAAGGAGGACTGCTGAGGAACGGTGTGCCTGTGTGTCGGGCATTTAAAATCCACATGATCAAAACCTGGGTGAAGCAGCGTATCTGCTAAATCTGGTTCAGACAGATGGAAAAGTTTGTACTAGATCATACGGATTGGGATGTCGGGACAATATCGTACAAAACTACAACTAAGTAGATGATATGAGTGTTTGCGCTGCTATATAGTACAGCTGCATACATGAAAACATCTTAATTTAAATGCAGTTTTGACTGAACTTTCCCATGCACTTTGGTTAACCAGATCATGGATGATATTATTCAGCCATATCCACTCCCTCTCCGATGGTCTCGGCTGAAATTCAGGCCACTGTACTCATGTCTCTCCTCAGCATCGATGTGATGTATTTTGATGTGAATACATTGGGTGCAGAGTGCAGGGCAGCGCTACAATGGCCTGGCACAACATTAGAGCTAAATCCAGTTTGACAGGCGGAGGTCTCAGCTGCAGATTAGCCTGACTGACTGCCTGTCTGGATCAGAGCAAGTTCTGCTGGGCCACTGCAGCTACACGGAGGCACGCTGACACACAAATTTAGGGAGAGCTAAAAAGCTGGGTGTTTAGGATTTGTCTACTTTCTTACTTTCAGCTTTACTGCTGTGATGTGTACGCAAATATATTCCACTTCACTGACTTGTCCTTCAGTGACTGGTCCGGTTGCTCTACTACCAACCATAGTCCAAAAGATCTGTACCATCTGAAAGGTTAGCAGCATGAGCAAGATGCTTTTTGTTTAAAATCATTCCATCACACCATGGTTTTTACAACAGGACAAAGGAGGGACATAACATGTCCTTTTCTGGATGCTTTTACACAGTCCTCCTACAACAAGGGCGCTGACTTGTTTCAGGATGCAATCAAACCACTTATCCTGATGCTGTCAACAGCAGGTGCTACCCGCTGAGCTACAGAGAGCCACATGATGCTACACAGGACTAGTGCTTTTCCACAGAGATGCATGTCCAATGTGAGTCACATGAAGGTCAGCGTATTTGTCATTCACCTCATCTTCATGTTGATACGTGAGTTCCAGAAACATGTTCATAACAAACACATGATGGCCCTCTTATATAGGAGATGGAAGTACTGAGAGGTTGATCCTCACTAACATACTTAAACTTTTTGGTGTGGTTAAACTCACTTCTCGGTTAAACTCAACTATAAGTTAATAAACAAGTAAGAGATTTCCCGTTTCTGGTCTCTACCAAAACAAGGCAAGTCATCATTTCCTCATCCCTACAATAAATAACTTTACTGACACTGCGGTTATGTTTTGTTGTAGCTTCTGTACTGTGTGTGTGTGTAGATGTAAAATGCAGAGAGGAGGGGTGTGTTGTTTCAGAGAGGGCATGGCTTGTCAGCCTGACTTAATTACAGCACATTGGCCTCTCATTGTTCATAAAAATATATTACTGTTGTTGTTGGCTATGATAAAAATATATATATATAAAAAATACAAGTCGGAGAAATATAATATAAATTACATGATTTTTGCATGTGTATAATAATGGTTATCGAACTGCTTGTAATATCATGTTCAGCCGCGCTAATGCAGCGTTTTGAATTAAACAGCATTTAACTTGTACTCTAAAAAGACAGAACTAATCTTTGTTGACAGGAGCCTTACATAATCCCAGTCCTTAAAAACGTCACACTCAGTAATCTTTGGCACAGATGAGTTCACGATCCGGCTACTGAGTGTGTTCTGTATTAGCATCCTGAATGAATTTAACATACTAATTATTAAACTATTTATTTCAGAAACACATGAAAAAGACGAGTCCCTTTCACTGGAACCCGCTTCTATGTCCCGATCATGTCATTAACCTACTTCACCATAAACTTGAACCACTGTAAATTGTTTTCTCATAATTGCCTATTAGGTTAACTTTCTACGTTGTATCGTTAAGACTTCTGGTTACTTACATCAAATCGGGTCTGTAGCGATGTATTATGGCACAAAACGCCAAACCGTCCCGAAACGACGTTGACATGTCCTTTATTTCCACATCGTTGTAATGTTCACACTGTATCCGACACCACTCCTGGAGAGCCTTCAGAGACCCCATGATACTATATCACAGAAATCCAAGAATTCTTGTCAAATAAAAGCGACGGATTGTTTTGACGGGAGACAACAAAAACACGAGTCATACACGAGTCATCTGCAGCGTTTTAGTTAAGGGGCGACAGCCAGGCAACACCCGATTTTGCGATACTACACACTCATTAAGCACCAGTGAGTCACGTTAAAACTAGCATGGCTTGCAAGCTAGATGTTAGCTTACTTTTGTAACTACAAAATGCATTATGTCCCCACGCAATCTTCTGTATCGAGCAAGTGTTTCAGACGTATCTAAACTGGAACTTTGACCAATTAAGAACACGTCTGAAATCCGGAGTTGATCACGTTAGCTTGAAACAAAGTTCTTGACGCAGCCAAGATGCTAACTAGCTAACGTTAGAGTAACGTTACGTTAGCCTACTGCTAGCTTATGTTTGCAGTTTGCTTCTTGTTTGGTGAGCGCCGGCACTGCGAGGCGATTGTCTGTCAGTTTTTGGCGATGATGAAATTTCAGTCGAAGCAGAGGTGACAGTTTCCTCCTTTAGGTGGACCAAAACACGGTTTTTGTTTGTCGGTGCAGTCACTGCAATGGCTGTTAAAACGATGAGTAAAAAGTAGTCTTTACCGCGCGATAACGTTACACGCGACGCCCTGTTTGCAAACAACAAAATTAAAACACACTGTAAAAAGTAAATCCCAGCTAATTAATGTTCATCAAAACAGCCCAGCGCCGATGTCAAGCCATCCTAGCTGCATTGATTAAAATGTTGGCAACCTGCCTGCCGCCCCACTCAATGTCACGTTGTTGTTTCTCTTCGAGCCCAACCGGGGGAGCCACAGAGCCGCAGCGCCAATGGCTATCCACGCGATATGTTACATAATCACGCGAGAGTGGTCAGTTGTTTAGAATTCCCAAAAGATGGCGGCAGCGCCTCCTGATGAGGCTAGCTTGCAGTCTCGCATCAGTAAGTCCTCATATTGTACAATATTTCATTAGCCTTTGAACGTAAAGCGATAGCCGATGTACTGTTAAGGGATATGGATATATATACACAGTTTTAATTTGCCGCTGTCGGCTACGGCACTCTATCTAGAGTCTAAATTATCTGAGAGTCAAGAGAGCAAATGTCATCAAATCAAAAAGTGCAGCTGTCGTCAAGGAACAAACTCCTAATGATCAACTTTGCTGTAATGCGCTCGTATTTTGAGGTCACATTCTGTGTACTGTTGACAGCTTGAGGTTGGTGGCGCTATACAGACATGCCATTTAAATTTAACAATCCTAGTAATGTCGAACTGAATGCGAACAAAGTCAACTAGCTAACGTTAGGTCGTTGCTGACCGTTTCCTCAAGGACCAAGACTAGCCATTTGAAGGAACCCAAAACCAGGAAACAGTTCATTACTTCTGCTATAATCTTAGACAAAGGATTCAGTCATTCCTGCAAACGCGAGACACTCTCTTTATCTGCTCCAAACCAGAGAACTGATAGTTTGCTTGGCGTTTAATCACCAATCATCAATTTACAGAACAATCCGAAATAAATAATGTCAGGAGAGGAGGGTTTTGCTAAATATAAGGTAAAAGAAAATGCACTCACAAGCAGCAGCAGTTTGGATGTAAAGCAGATTCAGAGTTTAGTCTAATGTGTCCTGTCCTATTGTTCCTTTCACACAGACAAGGCCACCAACCCTTTGAATAAGGAGACTGACTGGGACAGTATCAAAGGATTTTGTGATCAGCTCAACAATGAACCAGAAGGGTGAGATTATGATGATAATGAAGAATATCACCTCATTACAGAGTAGTTGTTCTGTTCCTCTGTACAAAATGCAGAAACAAATCAGTGCTATGCCAGCTTTTGATCTAAATTCATCCCAGAAGCTACGTAATATTTCATCACAATATGAAACGTGTCTGACCATTCTTGTGTTTTTTTCATGTCTTACATTGTTCTTGACTGTTGTTTTTGTAAAGTAAATGTGCATTTTTGTTTTTATCTATCAGCCCCCAGCTTGCAACCAGACTTCTGGCCCACAAAATCCAGTCTCCTCAGGAGTGGGAGGCTATGCAAGCCCTTATGGTAAGAGATCCTCATCCATCGAGTCTTCATATTAAAGTAACGTGTGTGTGTGTTATGTGGCTAAGAAGTGTAAAGGTCTGCAAAATGCCCCTTTAGAAGCCACGTATCATGTTTACAGTGAAGACTTTTATTGTACAGGCTTGTCTTTACAAAGGTAAAACAAACTTTTAAAAACATTCCCAGGTTCTTGAGACATGCATGAAGAACTGTGGAAAGCGATTTCACAGTGAAGTGGGAAAGTTTCGCTTTCTCAATGAGCTCATCAAAGTGGTCTCACCCAAGGTAATGATCTCTGTCTTTTATGCTGTCATACCAGTTTGACTGAAACTGTACATCCATGAGAATTTATTTTGGAAGGCTTTGTTAACCAGTGATGGCAGCTTTAAAGCGGCTGTAGAAATCTTAGCGCTAGAGAAAACCAGCTGTTGGAGTATTTTTCTAGCTATTGTAGTTGTTAAAAAGGAAAATGTGTTTTTGCTTTAATTACTTCATTAATCCTCTCTTCTCTGCAGTATTTGGGATCACGGTCTCCAGAGCAGGTGAAGAGCAAGGTGTTAGAAATGGTGCACAGCTGGACGGTTAGGCTCCCTGATGAGACCAAGATAGCAGATGCTTATCAGATGCTGAAAAAACAGGGTGAGCACTCCAGAAGCTTGAGAACATGACTAACCATGAAGACAAAGGATGTTGACAATTTCTTTACCTTGAGGTTTCTCATTCCCATTCATGGTTACGTGCATGGTTTGTTATTCCATACTTTTGCCATACAGTGGTTTATGATTGTGCTTATTAGTTCCCATATTTCACTGATAATGTCTTTTGGTTCCTGGTGTTTTTCTTGTTTTAACAAATAGTGTTTTGTACAAGGTAGTATCAGTTCTCCTTTTTTATGGCAATGAGCCACAAGCACGAGACTAATGTCTTTAGTCATGCTTAGTTGAATCTAGTATGATCTTTAAAAATGCAGTTGCTGAGTAGCTGTCCTAAGGTATAATCAGTACTCACTAATGGTTGTATAGGATGTCTTTAGCACATTGATGTCTGGTGGATTTTGACAGAATATTCAGTGGGATTTTCTTGGCATGGGAGACAGACGTTTACATTGCCACATGACTCTCTTGTTATGTGCATTTATCTAAAAGAAGTGTCTAGTACATTGTTATAGCACCAGCATACAGTATGTCACGGACAGTTCTGAGTCAGAGGTACAGTGTAATTATATACAATGTAAGCTGTGCTGTTGACATGTGAGATTAATAGGTGTCCTTGTTCTCTTCCAGGCATTGTCAAGCTGGATCCTGCACTTCCTGATGACAAGCCCCTCCCACCCCCTCCGCCCAGAGTCAAAAGTGCCGTCTTTGAGGATGAGGAGAAATCCAAGGTATGAAGTATGAATGACGATGAAGAAGCACCAGTTGCTTTAAAAAGGTTTTCAACAGGAAGGATGTATGCATTATATCTCTTATTATGTAGATTCATAAAAATGTTCATTACACATGAAATCCGTTTGAAGTCAAACTCAAATCATTAAGGGACCAACAGTTTACAAAGTTCTCTTCCTCCTTTCTTTCCTCCTTGCCTCTTCTGTCCTATCCTGTTTTTGTAGATGCTGTCTCGCTTATTGAACAGCACTCACCCTGAGGATCTACGAGCAGCAAACAAGCTCATTAAGGAAATGGTCCAGGAGGTGTGTCATCGGTTTTGTTTACCACATGTCATGGACAGTATATGTTCTCACGCGCATTTAGACCTTAACTAATATTCAGGTACGCAAACGATATCATGCAACATCATCTGATGTGAATTTTACACAAATGGTGGAAAAATCAGATGATGATGCATGATATCGTTTGCGTACCTGAATATTAGTCTTAAGGTCTTTTCAACAAATATTTTATTATAGTGATTAATACATTGGTGAGAGTTGTCTCCTCCAAACACTGACAACAGATTTGTGAACGCTGAATCTATGTATAATCACACATCAGGCTTTAGTTTCAGTAATACACGATTAAAGTTAATGATCTTGAAACTAATTGTCTCTCTGATGTTCTGCGTCATCAAAATAGTTTATTTAAAAATCAATCATCAGTTTTTTCCCATAGTTCCCATCATAATGATCATGATTTGAAATTATGATCATATGTAGCTAAATATTTAATTGTGAAAAATTTTAAGAAAGTACTGCTTGTCATCAACAATCTATTGTTGGAAAATATGATCTTAAATTTTAAAATGTAAAACCCACTTAACCTTCACATGTTTTGATATTTATTGTTATAAAGAATAGTCTTAAACTGTAATATAACTGTTATTATAATTGTCATTTGTCCTTAATCATAATCTTACTGATGAACACAACAAAATGCTGCTTGTTGATATTTAAACATTTCTATTGATACTGGGTACTATGACATCCGGTCGCCTGTTTTCCAGGACCAAAAGCGTGTGGAGAAGGTATCCAAGCGGGTGAACGCCATCCAGGAGGTGAAGGAGAGTGTCAGCCTGCTGAGCCAGCTGCTGGAGGGCTACAGCCAGGAGAGCTGCTCCCAGAGCAACCAGGAGCTCATTAAGGTTAGCACAGCGCAGCACCTTAAAAACTAGCTGCAGCTACAGACTCATAACTCTGCTTGTAGCACGTGCTAGAGGTGCTGTTTTATTGTGTTAAACACCTGTCTATTTGCAGGATCTTTACCAGCGCTGTGAAAAGATGAGGCCGACACTATTCCGATTAGCAAGTGATACAGAGGATAGTGATGAAGCTTTAGGTAAGTTAGCTGACCTCATGACTTTGATAGTATGTCATATAATACATTTATGAATTCAGATACAATATACAAATGTCACGTAATCGGGCTCATTCGTTAGATTCGAAAACCACTTTGGTGTTGCTGATGAGCCCTTTTTCTGCTTGCAGCGGATATCTTACAGGCCAATGACAGCCTGACACAGGTCATCAACCTGTACAGGCAGCTGGTTAAGGGGGAGGATGTGACAAAGGATGGTATAACCATGCCCTCACAGGCAGGTAGGTGCATGTGTGTGTTCTCACTGCTGAAAATGGCGGTGAAGTGTGATTTGGCATCCTTCAGTGTTTACCAAGCTTGATTCATTTAAAAAATTCTCCGAACATCTATGTAGACTCTAAGATCACAGATGGGTATTCTCTGACCAAATTTAGGTAGCAGTAGCTCAGCACTTGTAGACCTGATGGGACTTAATGCATCAGCCAACCCAGAGCCCTCCAGCCTACACGCCCTGACTCAGAACATGGGCATCAGCCTCTTGGACGATGAACTCATGTCACTGGGTAAGCACAAAACGCTCATCTGGCTTGTAAGTACAAAGGTAGATTATCTAGCTGTTCTTTTTAACAAGCTAAAAATTAAGCGTCAGCATGAGTCAGTCTGCACAGCACCATTATACCTTATATCCATTGGCCTGTGTGTAGCCCTCCTGTTGGCTGGCTGGCTAAAACCCTGAACCCTCAGGAGCAGACCACATCTGCATAAACCACAACAAAGCTACACACATTCACAGCCTTTCTAAATCCAGCCAAACATGTCACAAACTCTGACATTAGCAGGGAATTGTTTTTCATTTTAAATTGTTTTCAGGATTTGTTTGAAAGTGTTTTTGAATAGCATTACATTTTGATATAACTGCTA